TGTCTTGACACTATCTTCCTAATCTACTCCGTTCTACCTAGTTGTTGTTTGTCTTCACATATCACTTCAAATGTTGTTTGACATTCTAGCATGCCTAGTGTAGTTTATCTTCCGCTGTATCCTATTTAGTTACTATTTTGCTTTCGCATCTTCGAAGACATTTATAAAAATCGCCTATTCACCCTCTCTAGTTGATAACTAGCACTTCCAGAAGCACCGTCTCAGCTACGCCTTCCCACGTGACAGGAGCACGAAGCTTAAGGCCTACTTTCAACAATATTGAACACCAAACGTGGAGGGAAACATACGCTGATATGTGTCGCTCATTGCGAGCACGACACTCGCGTCGCCCACACGCTATCCCCTATGAGCCTGGCCCACTAAGTGAAATCTCCCAACGAGCAATCACGATTTTTTCACTTCATTTATTATTTCAATCGATTTTATTTCAACATAAAATTATCACTAATTTTAAATAAATCTTTGTGAATTATAAAAAGTATTCACTAATATAAAAATGTTAAAATGACCACAAGTTTGACAAAATGTACATGAATTTTAAAAATATTTGCAAATTGTAAAAAAATGTTTTTTACGAATTTGACAAACTTTCACATTTTTTTCTTGAATTTGAAATAGGTCCACAAAATTTTAAAATGTTTGCAATTTTTAAAATTCCCATAAAATTAAATAAATGTTTAAAGTGTCACAAATTTGAAAATTGTTTGCATATTTTAGAAAATATTCATGAATTAAAAATGTTAATGAATTTACAAATCTTCACAAATAAAAAAATGTTCATGAATTAAGAAAAGTTATCATATTTAATATTCAGGTGTTTGGAAAAATGTTCATGAATTTTAAAAATATTCATCTATTTTAGAAAAGAAGAAAAACTAAAAAATAGAAACTTGAGGAAATAGAAAAATCAGCAAAAGGAAAAGAAAAAAAAACATGTCTGGAAGCTTCCAGAAACTGGGTAGAGAAGTTTCCCTAAATCAGCCGAAACTTTCTAGTGATTTACTGTCTGCTAACAGGCCGACACAACATTAGCGTTGTGGTGAGCGATACATAGGCTTCATTCATTCATATCTCTCCTAGCTCTGCGCTTCACCAGGTCCACACGTAGAGTTGCCACACAAGCGTTCCTCTTGCAAAACCAACAATCAACAGGAGGTGCTTCCAGACCCAGGGTGCCCGTCGGGAACTCTGTCGCTCCCCTTCCCCTCTAGTCGCTGTCTTGCCGTCATGAGGGGGAGGGGAGCCCCGGTTTCTCGATCTGGCGTTGCGTCTTGGCGTGATGGCGAGAATGAGCTGATCTTCGAGCGCGGCAATGATGATTGCTGTAGATATGCGGAAGATCGTGGAGGATCCAGCCATGTGTTAAAGGGCGGGTGGGCGTTGGCCCCGGATCTGGCGTTGAAGAGGCTCGAAGGGCTCCTCTGGTCGATGTTTTTTATCGGGGTAGATCCAACCTTCCGGGGTTGGTGGCTACCGTGACTCGTTAACGCTTCCTGGCTAGGGATTTCTTCAATGTCAAGATGTGGAACAGTTTCTAGTGCTCTTCTTCTCCGGCGACGGTGAAGTTCGTGGGTGCTTGGTAGTTGCGGCGAAGGTAGTATGTAGGAGTATAACCACTTGTATCTTTCTTGGTTTTTGTTGCTTGTATGCGTTTCATCTTTGTATCGTTCCTTCTATAAATACACTGGTATAATATATGCCTATGGTGTACATTTTCGAAAAAAAAGAAAAAAAGTCCACGGGTGGAGTTGGGCTGAACGTCTGCGAAGCCGAAAGAAAGGCGTATCTATAATACCTAAATAGTTTATCCCCACTATTTTTTTTTTCTTGATATGCAAGCTGTCCACATCAACAGCCCAGCCACATCATCATTTCTTCACCCACTTACGGGAGGGGCCAGCCACAAGTTAACCAGCGTAAAAAATAGTGGCCACATACGTTAGTGTTCGGTTACCAGCAGTACTGGAGGAGGAACCATCACTTCTTTCTATATTTTTTGTCTTCTCAGCGAGCAGTTATGTTTCAAACGTAACATCCGACTAAAGGCTTGACTGAAATTGTTTCCTCTTCCAAGGGCACTAGCCTAGATGCATCATCTCATCTCCCCACCATATATTTCTCTCCAATGAATAGACCGGGTCCGCGCATCTCATCTTCCAATCCCACCTATTCTATTCTTGATCGAGTCCCGACTCCTAGCCGCCGGAATAGAGCTTCGGCGCCAAGATGGGCCTCGAGGGTTCGCCCGGATGAGATCGCTTCGCCGGCGCCCTGCGTCGGCTTTGCCCCTCAGTCGTACAGCCCGTCGTGCAGCCCCTCAGCCGCTCTTCCCTTTGCCCCGGCGTGAAGAACAACGATCTGTCGATCTAGTTGGTGTGGCTGTGACAGGAGAGAATACGAGGGGCTCCTTGCAGCTGGGCTCTACTTGCCTCTACCAAACTATTTTCTTTTCTTTACTCATGTTCGCTATGCTCTCTCAATCAGACCGAAACATTACCATTGGCGTCAATGTTCCCGTCAGTAAGGTAGGTGCGGTTCAGTAATGTATTACTCTTTCCCTAATTACTTGTACATCACCAAATCCGAAGGTAATTGATATTATGGACTTAATGATCTGTTTTGTCCTCTTGCAGTTCAATCAGATTTGGATTTTATTCAGAGCAGTTTTGATCTATATTTCCAAGAGCAGTTTTGATCTATATTTCCAAGAGCAGTTTTGATCTATATTTTTCGTCGACCTACCAATATTGTGTTACTGAAGGAAAATGGAATGAATAAGATGAAAGTGAGGTAACATTAATGGCCACAGATAGTGATCGTGTCTGGTGTGGCAAAGGTAACCCATTCATCATTTTTTGGTGAGACCACATAACTGAAGTGAGACTTTTACCACTGATTTTTTGGAGATGCTTTGTTCGATGTAGTTGCTCAATGCTTTATGATATGTCGTGCTTCACAACTGAAACACGCTTTTACCACTGATTTTTTGAAGATGCCTTGTTCAATGTAGTTGCTCAATGCTTTATGATATATGTCGTGCTTCACAACTGAAACACGCTTCACTGCCTCCTCTTGTCTGTTGGCAAGCCGCATCCAAACAGAAGGAGCTCGCATTGGAGCAGTGGAGCTGCACTACTCGAGCTTGCTCTCACCGCAATCTATGCATATGCATTGCATCAACATCTAATCCTGGTATAGGCACAGCCTTCTGATGTGAGATTGGCACAGCCAATTTTGGTAAGGCACGTGATGAATGTCAATTCCCCAGTTTATGCTTGACGATACTTTTCATTTGTATGTTTATCGTGCTTAGTTAATTATGGCGATCTCATGGTCTCCCCCCATCTCTATCCTTTTTTGGGTTATGATGTGATTGTGAAAATCCCCCATCATCACAAGGTAGGTAAAAGTTCATATTAGACCATTTAAATCCATAAGGCGAGGCTAACTGCATTTCAATCTGCAGAGTTATTGAGCATAAATTAATAATTAAGGGAATACCTGTATGTATGTGTTGTGCTACAGAAGATACCCCATTGGACTGTCAAAGGTGAGATTTCAGTTAAGTCCATAAGCCGAGGCTAACTGCATTTAATTTTGGTTTGTTGTTCAACCCTAATAGGAAAGATGAGCTTGCTAGCTTGGACCAAGGCTGCATGAGGAAGGCCATCAACTGGAATAGTTTGGACGTCAAGTAACTAGAATTTGGTTCATTTCATACACAAATCATCTTCTTTGCTGGTAAAAGTAACAAACTACCAATATCACCATATTATGCATATGATTTTACTGTTTTTCTTTGTATTGAGCATTGCTCCGTGAGCTACATAAATTCTTCATTTTTTATCTATATTCGCATACTACTATGTTGCAAACTTTTAGCCATTGAAGTCTCCAGAGCATTTGTTATTAGCATAGCTTTGCTGGCAAATCTGTTTGTTCTCGCGTACCAAAAAATATCTATGATGAAAGTGGTATACGACATCTTGCTTGGTGATTAAATGTTATTGTAATTTTGGTTTGGATAGACAAAGTGTTGTGCAAAATATAATAACATTTTGTACTGTAATAGTTCATACTTATCATACTTTCTGCCATGTAATTTTTATATGTATATATACTGTTCACATTTGCCAAAAGCTTGAGCAACCCAAGCAAAGTTTCATCTGGTTGTTTGGTCCAACTATCATTGTTTCTAAGCAAATTATATACATTTCTGGATTCATATGCATGTATGATCCTACCCCATCCATTATTTGTTTCATTTTAGATAGGATTGACTGAAATTAGCATTTTACTTCATGAAACTCACAATATATGCACTAAAATTCCCGCAGCAACGCGCTGGGTTTCCTTCTAGTTGTGTAAAAAGTTACGTACGTGTTCGCTGTGAACTTCCGACCAGGTCGAATCCCTAGCCCACGCCACGACGCCATTTGTTCCTCGTCAGGAACCCTAGCCGCGCCAGCCCGCCGCCGCCCCGCCGGCAGCCCTCCGCGGCCCTCTCCTCCTCCGTCCGTCCCGCCGTCGCCTTCCTCTCCTCCTTTCCGTCGACCTCTTCGCCGCCGTTGGCCTGCTTTGCCGGGCTGCAGCCCCATCTGGGCGCTCGGGCCGTAGTCTTTGCGGAGGAAACCAGCCGAGCAGTCCAGTCCACACACACCCCAGGCCCGCTTCTGGCCCATATGCCGGCGACAACCAACCGGACCAGAGCTCCTCGACAGACACAGACACAGCGCCTCCCAAGCCCTAACGGCAACACCAACACCGGCCACGCGGCGGCCGGCTCACCGTAGCCGTCCCCTCGCGCTCGCCTTCGCCAGCGCGGCAGCGCCGTCCGTCGGTGTCGCACCCGCCACCACCTCTTCCCCCTCTCCCTTCCGCCGCCGCAACCGCGCAGCTGCCACAGCCACTCGCCGCCGACACCAAACCGCGCCGCCCGGCCGCCTCCTGCTGTTCCGCGCTCGTCCCTTGCCGTGCATATGGACGAAGAGCGCGTGGAACGGGAAGGCCACCGCCTCAAGAAGAAGGCGAAGCATCGTGATGAAGAGGGGAAGGCGAAGGATAAATTGAAGCGTCGCACAGATGAAAAGGCAACTGAGGCTGATTCGGTCGCAGAAAAAGTTAAGGAGGAGGCTGTGGTAGGCGCTGCGGAGGAGAAAGAAGGCCACAAGCGCAAGAAAGGGAAGGGCCGCAGTGAGGAGACGAAGAGCAAGGAGAATGTTCCAGTCGTTTCAGGTAGCATAGAGAACGGTGTTGGTGAGGAGCAGGCCAAGAAGTCGGGCTCGATGGCGCCTTGTTCGGAGGGTGCCATGAACAAAGACAATGTGAAGAAAGACAAGAAGAGAAGGAAGGAGGAGAAGAAGAAAGAGAAAGAAGCTGATATGACTGAGCAGAAGCAGAGTTTTGATACTACTGTTGGTAAGGAGCAAGCTGAAACTTCTGGCTTGATGGAGGTAACGCCCTGTTTGGAGCTCGCCCAGGGCGATATGAGCAAAGACAAGGTGAAGAAAGTCAAGAAGAAAAAGAAGGAAGAGAAAGAAGCTGAGAAGACTGGGCAGCAGAAGCAGACATTTGATACTACTGTTGGAAATTCAGGGGCAAAGTATGCAGAGGGAGACAAGGTTGAGGGAAAACAGTCTAGCAAGGCAAAGAAGAGCAAACGCAAGAGTGATGATGGTGCACCTGCTGCTGATCAAATCGTGACAAGAGAATACAAGAAGAAAAAGAAGGAGCATTCAGTTGTGCTGGAAGAGAGCAGCCAAACCGAAAATAGCAATGAAGGTGAGAATAGAGAGATTAAGAAGGGAGGAAAGGAAAGGAGTAAAGCCAGTCCAGACTTTAGTGAGAATGCATCTGCTGGGGGAGAGGAAGCTGGTGTAGATGGTAATGATGATAAGAAGAAAAAGAAGAGCAAGGGGATTGGAGGAGGGAAAAAAGAGAAAGAAAAGTCAGTTCGGTCAACAAAGGGTAAGCAGGTGAGTTTTGCTGATTCCGCGGAGATGTTTAGAACCGAAGGTGGTGATGGGGAGGGGATTGGAGGAGGAAAACAGAAGGAAAAGGCAGCTCTGTCAAAGAAGAAAGGTAAGCGGGTGAGCTTTGCTAATTCTGCGGAGGTGTTTAGCATTGAAGGTGGTGATAATGAAGAGGATGGCATCAGCAATGAATCGAAAAGTGTGCATGGTCGATTTACCCCAGAGGAAGACGCCGCCCTCATGGAAGCTATGAGGGGTTACGCAGAGGTTGCATCTCTTGCTTTAAATTTTTGCATTCATGTTACAATGAGCAGATTTAAACTGAATGGAAGCTATGCCCATGTTTTTTTTTTGACAAAAGGCTGCTTCTATTTTATAATTTAGATGGATGTTTTTTCTTTAACTTAATATGATTGATTTCAACCATATGTTATTTTAATTTGATCCAACCTACACATGGAACTATGGTAATTTCTTTTAAATCACAGCATATCGATAAAACATGAACTTATTACAGTTACTTATTACTTATAGGTGCATATGTTATACTCCCTCCGTCCCAAAATAAGTGTCTCAACTTTGTATTAACTTTGTTCTAAAGTTAGTACAAAGTTGAGTCACTTATTTTGGGATGGAGGGAGTATATGGGTTTGTATAAAGCACTCCAGCTGAGCATTTAATATGGAAGTTTTTTTGTATCGAATCAAAGTATTCTATGACGAACGGAAGTATGCTTGTCCTGTAAATAAAATGTTCGTTCCCTTAGGTAGGAACTGGCTGGGAGAGTTATAGAAAGTTCCTTACAGTGGTTGGACTTTACAAATAGTTGAATATATATATTAATTTACCATATTTTCTCCATTGTTTTTTAACTTATGTACTTATTTTCTCCATTGTCTTTACTGTTAAGAAGTAACCATTTATTTTTCCAATGTGATTTAGTTGAACTTCATCTTGCTGTGAATTTTTAATTTGAATTTTAATATAAAGAGAATAATTAAATGCATGAATATAAATCTTCAAGTATATCTTGAATACTCATTTTGCGCTAATGTATGCTAAATTAGCATCTACAATGGTCTCATTTTGAAGTTAAATTATTTTGGATTTTGTGCATATCCACCAATATTCTATTTTGCTTTCTGCCTACCCTTCCTTTACCCATTAATGTTATATTCTTTTTTTGTGTGCTCGAGTTTTATGTGTTGATTTTTTTGTTTACCACTAAATTCGCTCGTGATTGCAAATGCCATGCCCAACATAATTGAGAGAGTTCTCGTTGTGTCTCTTATTTTAGATGAAGCAACTGGGAGAGAAAGGTTTAGAGATGATTGGGTCTTGTCGTAAATATCCAGAGCTAAAGGGTTGTTGGGATGATATAGGTAAGCCAAAAAATCTGGAGTTATGTTCTTCAACGCTTCCTCCTCATGCTCTTCGTGTGTTAATGTCAGTTATGCATGTAACCTTTATGAAAAAGTCTTTATTAAGACCCACCATCTCACGTTGAATTTCCAAGCAATCAACATCCATCCCTTTTTCTTACCTGGATTGCAGACAACTTATAATATTTAATTGCTGATGCACATTCTTTGCAGCGAAATCGTTACCCCATAGACCTTACTTGGCCATATACAGGCGAGCACATACATTACTCCATAGGAGCACCGGATGTAAATGGACAGATGAAGAAAAAGAGCAGATTCGGCGGTACGCAAATTCCTTTTGCTGAGACAAAATTATATTTGTTTTCTGCATGATCCATATTTACTCAATTGTCTTTACTATTAAGTAATCATGTTGTTATCTAATGTGATTAAGTTGAACTTCATGTTTGGTGCTACTTGTTAGTATGTGTTTACAAATCCTTACTCCTATTGAAGATGTCAATTAGTGACAGGGTCCTGTTCGCCTCCTTCTCCCTTCCTGATGTTTATACCTTTTGCTTGGTGGTTATGTGTGTCACCAAAGTCTGATAAACCAACATCAACCTGCATGTGCCACTAATGTATATTAGCAAATGCCTCTATGTAGTCTAATTTGTTTATCCCAATGTAACTTGTTACTCTGTTTGATACTTTTTGCAAGTTCTCCTTGCGATCTCATAGCAGAGCTACCTGATACATGGTTTGTTTTGGGTTCATGGTATGAGAAAATAAGGTTCTCCCGTCAGGCAGTTAACAAACCTATAATTCCAGTGCATGGACTTTGATTTCCATGAATTAATTTTGTTTTGCAACTAATAAATTAGATTATGTAGGAGTTAAAAAATTGAAAAGGGAGGTAGGTGCTTGTTGGATGGGCCTGGCTCCGTCGCTTGAAGTAGAGGGAGTAGCTAATGCAAAATTTCCATGTCACCTGTTGTCAACTTCCTCATGGGCTTCTTGTCACTGCTACCACTGTCCCAATCTATTTACTTTGACTCAACCTAGCACTCCCACTTCCTTCAAATGGCAGTGGAAGGGGGATGAGGATATGCTTGTTTGACAGGGACAACAGTGGTCTGATCTGACCTGTCTGACATTGGAGCAAAATCTGATGGTGACAAAGGTTAGTTGCATTGGTGAGGGTGGTGACTGGTGTAAATTGTAAACCTTTCAAAGCGTCATCACCATCAGAATGCATCACTGTTGTCAAGTAAGCATATGGGATTGCCACTCCCCATGAATCATACTGTGCACCAGCCAATTTCAGATCGTTAGCCAATCTTGAATGAGATTGTGCGGTGGATTACTGTTTGCCCTGACGTGATTGTGATACTATGATTTAGATTGAAGCACTTTCTTGATATTCGTATTGAAAAATGTTTTGATATGTCCTGTTGTTGTTTCACATGATTAAGATTAGATCGCTGCATTATGATGCAGGTTTGTCGAGAAAAATGGCACGGATTGGAAAACACTGGCACAGGAACTTGGAAAGAGTGAGATCCATGTAAAACATGCTTGGAGAAGAATAAAACCTAAGAAGAAAAAAGGTGCCCGTTGCTCCTAAAGTTCTATCATATTTTAGCTAATACATCTGTCGCAACTGTAATATTTCAGCACTACTTTAACATGTATGTTTATTTTAGGAATTAGGATGTTTTTATTCTTCGGGCATGATTTTTCTCACATCATTTTGTCACTACTCAGGCAAATTTGTCATGTTAATGGTAGTAGTTTAACCCAGCTCTGCATTCTAGTCAATATTTGGTTTAGGTATGTCATGTGCAACAACAACAAACCTCACATATTGGTCTGCTCTAATATTGAAATTACTGACAAAACAGGAGTTGAAACGACAGCATGAGTTGGGGGCTAAAGCATCTATACTATCACAAAGTGTGTTTGTAGATGATTATTTATCCAGTTTTAAGATGTTAACTATCAGTTAAATGCAAAGTTTGGTCATGAGATAAGTAAAGGGATGATTGTATTCTTGGTAATCATCATGTGAATATGGAAACCATACGTCCTACCTAGTGAATGCATTATCTTCTTTTTGGGGTGAAAGTGAATACATAATCGTGATAAAAATTATGCATCCTACCCAGTTAATGCAGTATCATCATGCGATAAAATTTAGACCTTCTTGCTAACCTTTTCCTATTCTGTGTGTGCATCCTTTGACTGGTTATATGTTTCAGGTGCTGATGATGAAGAGGATGTCAGTGGTGGTGAATCTGAACTTGTACATGGACATCGGTTTACCACAGAGGAAGATGCCATCCTCATGGAAGCTATGAGGGATTACGCAGAGGTTGCATCTCTTGCTTATATTTTTTGCATTCATGTGACAGTGAGCAAACCTAAACTGAATGGAAGCTATGCCCCTGGCCTGGGGGTTTGAGGAAAGGATGATTGAACTTTATAATTTAGATGGATAGTTTCTCTTTAACATAAAATGATTGATGACAACCATATGTTATTTCAATTTGATCCCATCTACATGTGGAACTACTATCAATCGTGTTTTAAATCACAGCATATCGATGAAACATAAACTTGTTATTACAGTTATTACTTATAGGTGCATGTGTTATGGGTTTGTATAATGCACTTCAGCTGAGCATTTAATATGAAGTTTTTTTTTATCGAGTTGAAGTACCGTATGACCGTACTGAAGTATGGTTGTCCTGTACAAATGAAATTTTCTTTCCCTTAGCTTGAAAACTTACCAGAAAGTTTCCTACGATGGTTGGACTTTACAAATATAGTCGAATACATATTAATTTTCTGCATTACCATATTTTCTCCATCGTTTTTTAAATATATTTACTTATTTTCTCCACTGTCTTTAGTCTTTACTGTTAAGAAGTAATTGATTTAGTTGAATTTTATTCTGCTGTGAATTGGTAGTTTGAGTTTTAATATCAAGAAAATATTAAATGAATGAATATAGATCCTCATGTATATCATGAATACTCATTTTGTGCGAATGGATGCTGACTTACATCTACAGCTCATTTTGAAGTTAAATCATTCGGAAAATTTATGCTACATATGTATGCAAAAGTGCTCTCCCATGTGGTGGCATCGCAATGGGATTTTCCTCATCAGTTGCATGCAGGAATCTCCCGCCTCACGCTGACATCATCACATTAATTGCTAAATTAGAAATTTCACAATGATTTATTTCACATACCGTTAATCCGATCAATAATCCGTTTTCGCTGGCGAGTTTGTCTTGACGAGGGCTTTGAAACTAGATCCCATGTTGACATGTTTCAGCAATTTTTTTGTCCCCATCAGTAGCTATGCTATGTTAATCGTGGTCGTCATGTTAGCAGTGAACAATTCCTACAATAACTGTGTATAGTTACCAGGCAATAGTTTTGTATGTTTTTAGACATCACAATGTTATGCAGAGCTCGAGAGTTACTATTCAAGTGTTAACAATAAGTAAGACGTGGTATGAACCAGCACAAGTACCATGAAGCAAGTCTTCTAGTGGCGTACATTGACGTTCAACAACATCGCAACCAAGTTAATTTAATCTGGCAACTAAATGGCCAATAACCTGGTAAGTAAGTAACACCAACCTGGCAAGTACAGATGAAAAAAGAGAAGTTGTCGAAATGAAAAGTGGATCGTCAATCGGGTTAACGGTTTGAGGGATAAAACTTTTTTAAAATTGGAACATGAAGAAATCTTTGCTGATTTCAGTTTATGTGTTATTTTTACATGCATGCAAGAGATAGATGAGGCTGATGCCCTGCATGGGAAGGACTTTTTCAAAATTTGAATTTGAAGAGATCTTTGATGATGTCAGGCTTATATGTTATTATTACATGCATGCCAGAGATAGATGAGGGTGATGCCCTGCATGAGAAGAAACCATGCAGCACTGCTCTTAGTTCAGTCCTAAATTATTTTGGATTTTGCGCATATTGTCATACTAATATTCTATTTTGCCTTCTGCCTTCCCTTCCTTATCCATTAATGTTAATTGTTTTGTGTGCTTGAGTTTTATGTGTTGATTTTACCTTTTTATTTACCACTAAATTCGCTCCTGATTGCAAGTGCCATGCCCAACATGTTTGAGACAGTTCTCGTTGTGTTTCTTATTTAGCTGAAACAACTGGGAGAGAAAGGCTTAGAGATGATTGGGTCTTGTAGTAAATACCCAGAGCTCAAGGGTTGTTGGGATGATATAGGTAAGCCAAAAACCTGGAGCTAAGTTCTTGAGCATTTTCTCCTCATGTTAAGCCTGTCTTTGTGTGATAGTGTGAGTTAAGCATGTAACCTGTATGAAAAAGTATTTCTTGAGACTTACCATATCATGTTGAATTTCCAAGTAATCATCATTCCATTTATTTTTCTAACCCTTATAGAAGACAACTTACAATATTTAATTGCTGATGCACATTCTTTGCAGCGAAGTCGTTACCCCATAGACCTCACGAGGCCATATACCATCGAGCGCGTATATTACTCTATAGGAGTGCTGAACGTAAATGGACAGATGACGAAAAAGAGCAGATTCGGCGGTACATAAATTCCTTTTGCCGAGACAAAATTATATTTGTTTGCATGACCATATTTACTCAATTGTTTTTATTATTAGGAAGTACTATCATATTATTGTTATCTAATGTGATCAAGTTGAACTTCATGTTTGCTGCTACTTTGTGTCATGTTTACAAATCTCCACTCCTATTGAAGATGTCCATGGTGATGGTGGTCCAATCACCTCCTTCTCCCTTCCTGATGTTTATGTGACAAAATATGCAACATCCATTTCCATGAGGCCTTGATATATATAGAAATGATATATATGCAGAAAACCCCCTATGCAATTTGGGGGGGGGGGTATTACATGACATATACTCCCTCCGTTCCTAAATATAATTCTTTCTAGAGATTTCAATGTGAACTACATACGGATGTATATAGACATATTTTAGAGTGTAGATTCACTCATTTTGCTCCGTATGTAGTCCGCATTGGAATCTCTAAAGACTTATATTTAGGAACGGAGGGAGTATAACTAACTACCCCCTCCCTCTTTTAAACTCATGTTGAATCAACAACACTGAGTTCGAAGATAGTCTGGGTCTTCGTGAAGATATCCGCTAAGTACAACTAGGAAGGCACATACTCTAGAGCAATCATCTGATCAACACCAATGTGCTTCAGAGGGTCACGACCCATACTGATAGCACTCGTACCGTTGGACGAAAGAAGAGTCAGTGTAGTGACAAACACCAAAATCTTCAAGCAACCACCGTAGCCAAGTCACTTCTGCTACCAAAAGAGCCATACCTTGTGACTTAGCCTCTGCACTCGAACGGGAAACTGCAATCTGTTTCTTCGTCTTCCAGGCAATGAGAGAACCACCACGAAAAAACATAGTAAGCAGAAAGCGATCGATGATCCGAAGATCGCTAGGCCAAGTCGTCTCAAATAGTCCTATAGTTATAGCAAACTGGATCGTGGAAAGAAAAGACGATGCGAGATAGTCACACGAAGATATCGTAGAACTTGAAGTAGGTGACTGTAGTGAACCGACTCAGGATGTGAATTAGATGGGAGATATCCGGACAAGTGACGGCTAGGTAGACAAGACTCCCAACAAGGTGACATTAGCGTGTCGGATCCGAAAGACGCTCACCTCACCATCAGAAGCCCGGAGGTGGACGTTGAGCTCCATTGGAGCCTGAACAATGTGCTCATCCGCAAGAGCAGAGCAAGCAAGAAGATCTTGGATGTACTTCCATTGGGATATCAAGAAGCCATTGGAGGTAGAAGAAACCTCAATCGTAAGGAAGTAGCGCAGAAGACCAAGATCAGACATAAGAAACTGCTCACTAAGACGAGCCTTCACAAAGGCAATGCACTCAGAGCCGTCGTCGGTGATTATATGTCATCGATGTATAGAAGAAGAGCCCGGCCACAAGACGAAAGGTGGACAAGAGAGCGGGATCATGAGCACTCGGTGAAAAACCACTAACAGTGACCACTAACGCTAAACCCTTGAATCAGGCAGGAGGGGCTAGCTTAAGGTCATGAAGAGAGCAATGAAGACGACATAGCATGTTGTCCGGCATAATACCCATGTGGTGGGTGCATGTAGACCTCCTCACGCAACTCACCATTAAGGAGGCCATTATGGACAACACGCTAATAGATTTCTGTAAAACCTGCCGTATCAAGAATGTGCCCTTGTCATCAAGTAGGGATTGTCACTCCTTATGAATCATACTGCACACTATCCCATGTGAGATCACTGGCGAATCATGAATGAGATTGTGTGGTGGAGCTGTTTACCCTGCCACGATTGTGATACTATGATTTAGATTGTGTTGTAACTTGTGAAGCGACTAATATCTCTCTTACACATAGCATACTTTCTTGATATTCGTTATTGAGAGATGTTTTGATATCTCCTGTTGTTGCTTCACATAATTAAGATCAGATCACTGCATTATTGCGCAGGTTTGTCGAAAGCAATGGAACGGATTGGAAGACATTGGCACGGGAACTTGGAAAGAGTGAGATCCACGTAAAAGATACTTGGAGAAGAATAAAACCTAAGAACTTGAAAAAAGGTGCCTGTTGCTCCTGAAGTTTTATCATATTTTGGCTAAATTATCTGTCGGAACTGTAATATTTCAGTGCAACTTCAACATGCAAATGCTTATTTACGCCATTTTAATTCTATGAGCATGAGTTTTCTCACATCATGTTGTCACAACTCAGGCATGTTTGTCAGGTAGTAGTTTAACCCATCTTTGCATATTGGTTTTTACTAATAAAAAGTTGAAACAACACCATTGTTGAGTTGGGGGCTAATACAGCTATGCTATCACAGTGTGTTTGTAGCATTGTTTTTAAGGCGTCACTTAGGAGTCGCCTAAGTGCTGAGGCGCCCCAGGATGGTAAGGCGTCCGCCCTGCCTTAGACATGAAACGTACGACTGCTTCAGTGAAGGGTCCACTGCTGTCAAAGGTATCTGCTACCGCCTGTTCCTCGCTGCATCATCCTTGCGGCTGCTTCTGGGGCTTGGAGACGACGGCCCCACCATTCCCCAGTACTCCAGCGAGCATCCCTTCATTTGCCTGCCTCCACCGTCGCCTTCCCTTGCCCGATATACTCTGCTGTTGAGGAAGAAGGGATGCTGCAGTGAGGGAGAATCAGAGAATGCCAGGGTTATGATCAGAAGGGAGGAGTTTTAGGGTTGTATGCTGCTGCTGCTACAACGAGGAAAGATAGCAGGTGTGTGGCGGCTGTGGTGAGGGAGGAGGGAGTGAGGATAGTGGAATTAGGTCACGGGAGGAGTATATAGCTACTAGATGGGCTTTTGGGCCATAGGGGAGTGCATAGGTCGTGGCCCATCTCTCAGTCTTTCTTATTTTTCCTTGCAATATACGTGCTAAACTGCTTGATTGCTCTGTTCCTCTATGTCTAACGCGTCGCCTTGTCTCACCTTACATGCTTCAAAGGTAAAGGCGGGGGTTAGGCGCCTCGCCTTGCCTTACCGCCTCAGGAACAATGGTTTATAGATGATTATTTATCCAGTTTTAAGCTGTTGACTATCGGTTAATTGCAAAGTTCATTCATGGGATAAGTAGGGAGGATTGTACTGAACAAAATTCTGGGTATAGATTGAATGATAAAATTGGTAAAATTGAATGTCCTATACACGTGAATGCATTATCTCATCATTTGGTAAAACTGAATGTAGTATCATCATGTGATAAAACTTATGCATCCTAACCAGTTAATGCAGTATCATCACATGATAAAAAATATGTATCCTACCCAGTTAATGCCGTATGCGATAAAATTTAGACCTTGCTAACCTTTTCAATTCTGTGTGCATTCCTTGACTGGTATTTTTTCAGGACGTTGGACTCAGGATGAACACCAAAACTTGTTTGATTTGGTGAACCTTGACTTGCGTCTGAAAGCCCATCAAATCAAAAATCCTGATCATCGGCTGGTTTGTAATTTACCAATGTTGTTGATATTGTGTATTTTGGTCAAGCTTTCCTGATTTGAACTGTGCTCACAGCTGTTCATATTCTTGAATCACATGATTGAATCTAATGAGGTGGCTTACTTATCATCTGTGACAGCTAAGAGATAACATTTCCTGGGAGGCCATCAGTGATAAATTGACCACCCGTAATCACAAGAATTGTTGCCTCAAGTGGTTAGTATTTCTATTTGCTGCATATATATGCATAACTTTGTTTTCTCATTGTATCTGTACTAAACGCTATGTGCATTGCAATCTTTAATCCATGTTCTTTTTTCCCATCTTCTCCTATTTATTGTTTCTATATCTAAATTGTTCATTTTGACATTTCAGAGATAAGCTTGTTGTTGAATTGCATCAGATTGATTTAAGTGCTTAACCGAGTACTTTGTATTGAAGCGCAAATCCTTTGCGTTTTCTCGAAAAGTACTTTGTATTGCATCAGATCCGTTTATCTGAATTTATTTAACATAGTAGACCTTGCAACTGGTTTGTTTTAGCCATTCTATGAATACAAATTTTCTTGGAATTATAATAATTAGAGATGAAGAATCTTAATTTGCTTAACCAGGCATGCTTGTATTTACAGAATTGAGATCTGTATATTATTAGCTTTTCTACGTTTGGGATTGGGCTAATGGGATAATGTGGGCTTCATTGAATTTAACTAGTTTTAACACATCCTTCATACACCTAAATCTTGTGCTTCTATATGCGTATATGCATCTTCAGACTGGGTTACACGCAAGTTATGTAACGGCAGCATGACCATTAATTCATGATGCTCTTTCAGGTACGAAACATTAGCATCTCCGATGGTCAAGGAAGGAGTCTGGGCTGATGTTGATGATTATCTACTGGTGGAAGCGTAAGATTCTACAGACTATTATAATGATTGCCTTTTTGCCATTGAAACACTGCACATTGTTTTGCAACAGAGTTAAAAAAGAACTGTTTCGAAAGGTAGGGTTTAGCCTGCCTATGGAGATATTGTTTCAGCAATTCCTGAAAGTATTGACGTGTGGTTGATGCCAATAATGCTGTGGGTGTACGTAGTACCATGAAGGCATGAACTTTAGAAGTAAGAATTTCAGTAATGAGGAAGGATGGAAATCAGGAATTTTTACATTTTTGGTCATGTTGTCTGTTGCTGTTTGCCTGGTCTTGTTGTCGAGGGTGCTTGTTGTTTAGGGTTACAACTCACGATGTAATGAGGAGGGATGGAAATCAGGCATTCTTACATTTCCCCCCTCTCTATTCTTGGTAGCTTGCACCAGTTTTAACATTGTAGTCTTTGTTTGGTTTTGAACTAACTGAACACTGTTATGGGCTATATGGAACGGAAGACAGTGTATGTTTATGAGTGGGATTAGAGTACAGTAAGAGGTTGCGCGCTCACCCTCAGGTGCATTCCATGCCTCGTTCCTGGCTGTAATACATGAGGCTCTGAGTGATCAACTTATGGTGAAATTTTCTGGTTTATTTCTTGAACTAAAAGAGATCGATTTCTTTGGCTCATTTGTAGCAATATAGGATTGAGTCAGTGTTGCTGCAAGGCTGTGTGTTGAATATTCCATGACTCCCCCGCAAGTTTGATATTCTTATGCTTGATGATTGTAATGGTGCACGCCTTGGTTATCTAAGATGTAGTATGACAATATGGGTCCTGCAAAACAAAAAGTTTTGGAGTCGATTTGTTCTGGCTTGTTTTTGCATTAAGAATCGCGGTATTATCCTCAGTTGGGGTGGGTTTATCTCACCCTGGGGTGTGGGCAGGTAACAAGCATACATGCGAGCTAATATATCATATCCATCTGCCTTTTCTCCAAATTTGCACATAAGCTTTGTTTCAACAGAAAGAAACACAAGTCCTTTCTCTCTCTCAACGATCTATTTATTTGCATCGCAGTTGGACTGAAGTTAGTGTATTAAATGCTATTTTTTTTCAGGCTTAGGCCTCCTATATGTGTTATTTATTTTCAGTGTCGTGTTACAATGAAACAAAAATATACTCCCTGTGCTAATTTTTTGACGAAAAATAGGCTTCAAAAGGTTGATGCTGTCTGTATTGAAGATGTTGACTGGGACAGCCTACTTGATCACAGGTTAGTGCTGTCTGCTGATCTAACTCACACAACCTTTAACTATGCCATGTTCTTGATCACAAAGTAGTTTGGTTCAGTTACCCCATTTTATCAACTCCAATGGTCTGAAATACTCTAATGCGGTCTAAACTAAAGGTGGCATGTTATTGGAGTAAATAGTCTTTCCTGTGAAGGATATGAAGCAAATACCAACTTCTTTTTTCCTTGACAGCCAGAGAGTTTGTTAACAGAGCTGTTAACTTTACTTATTTGTGCCTTAGATTTAAATTTTAGCAAAATGGACAATAGCGAATGTGCATTTGGGTTATGTACCAAGTTTGATTAAATCCTCCCAATAACCCTGGCATACACTAGTACCTTAGTGCTGGATTACTGGTATACTTGGTATTTTGTCAGGAAGCTTGGGTTTCATGTCAAGTTTCAGAAGGGCATGCATTTTCATACAGAAACAAATTCTGGGACCCTTGTGGTTTGGGCTTCATGTCAAGTTTCAGAAGGGCATGCATTTTCATACAGAAACAAATAACAAATTCTGGTACCCTTGTGGTTTTATAGTAACGGGGCTATTCACTCTTTACTCAGGTCTGGGGAGGTTTGTCGTCAAAGATGGAACCAGATGGTCCGCGCCATTGGTGGCCACAGGGAGAAGCCTTTCATCGAACAAGTGGAAGTGCTGTCGAGGCGCTACTGCCCAGAAATGATTGAATACAGGAAGTGAGGAAAAAGTGTAGGAATTATCACCCGTCAAACTTGTAAGCCCAGACAAAACAGCAAGCATGATGTGTCAAATCTTGCTCGTCACTTCCATGGTATGTGGAGTAGCCCGTAGGATGCCAGGCTTGCGGGATTTATGGGGTGTAGAAATGTATCAACGGTACATGGTTCACCAGTGAGCAAGCTAGGTTATGATTTTGTTTTCCTTCTATTGTCCTCACGAACATCTTTACTCAAACCTGAATACATGATCACTTCAGGGACTCCACTCATCTGAATTTGTTCGTGCCATTTTTTATTTTTAGTTATTTTATGGTATTCATCGAACTTAATTTGCTAGAGGCTGCACCCCACTCATCTGAATTCAGGTACTCCCGCTGCTGGATACATGATCACTTCTACCTCGGCAAGTGGCACGTTGCATGTGTGCAATTTGCCGCAATCTGAGAGTTTTTTTTTTTTTTTTTCTA